GGAGTTGAAGTCCGGACATCTTCAAGTGGCCAAGGTTGAGAAACACTGGAGTAGACGAATGTGCTGCGAGGGTGATAATCCTAAATATATATACCAAACCAAATATTCTTCATGTTGTGCAAATGTTCACAGGGAAATAAAGTCTCTTCGGAAGATTCCTAGGTCTTATTTGATTTATACAAGACAATTACATCTGTTAAAGCTATTCATGCCTCATACTAAGCCAGATAGACTTGTTTCACACAATATAAAATAAAGTAGGTGAAATACTATTTTATTTTTCAGTGAACAAATTAAATGGAAGCTTTATCCATGTAACAAGTCCCATTCTGCAGCTGTTCCCTCCCTCATTTTTGCCTTGTGATTGAACGTTTGAGGCCCACTCACTAATCCCATTAAGTGGATGATTATAGAGTTTGAATTTAATCTAAATTTCTAAATTAAATTTTCCATCATTATCTTCTATTTTATCCATGTAATCAGTTTGGATTTTTCTAACTTTCCAAATTATAAACAATACATTGTGAACTCAAAATCTGCATTTTTTTTCTGTAAAGAATTAGACTTTAGTCTAATAAATCCCTCTGGGAGGGCCACCACTATCTGAAATAACCAATATTGGGAAGTCAATACAATATTGAGCAATGGCTTCTTCTAGTTATAATTTTGAATGGGTACCACTGCAAATAAGATTACCAGCCTTGAAAGCTATCTGATCCAGCCATTAGCAGCTTCTCAAAATGCATGAAACATACTTGCCATAAACATTATGCTCTCAAGGCAGAGAGATTCCTAATTTCTCAAGTGATACAAGAGTTTCAATGTAACTCTATTCCAAATTAGGACTTGCCTGTCCTTTGAAAACTTGCTACTAGAAGTTAATTTTATTAGCTTTATCATTCATTGAGTATATGGCAAACCATGCATCCATTAAATATGCATCCATTAAATATGCATATTTAATCCATTTAAACACAAAGTTATTCCTTGTAAACAGATAGTTTCATTTTGCCATATCTACCTTTCCTGCGACTTAACGGTTTCTTTTGTAAATAAAACATTTGACTCCTTGAAAGCCTGCTGGCTCACAACATGTTGTCGTCACATGACATATCACAATTTTTTTCCCTTTCGTGGAGGTGGTGTGGGCATGGCCCACAGGCTGCCAGTTTGACACTCCTGTGCTAAGGTCTAAAAATCAGGTCCCTAACCCTCAGTAAATAAAAACAAACAAACGTCGTTTATGAAACATGCTTAATCCTTAATGGCTGGTGACAAAGCTTAATTTATATAAGCGTTTATATAAGCGTTTATGAAACATGCTTAATCCTTAATGGCTGGTGACAAAGCTTAATTTATATAAGCGTTTATATAAGCGTTTATGAAACATGCTTAATCCTTAATGGCTGGTGACAAAGCTTAATTTATATAATTTCTCTTGCACAGACTGTATTCATGAACTTTGGTGAATGTATCCCTTATTTGTGAGAGTTTGAAGAGATAACGGACTTCATAAATGATCAGAAATTGATGCACTCAGCATTCTAGAATCACAAATGTGCATTTGAATGCCAAGTGTGACCTAAATGTGACACTCTGTGACTTAGTGACCCTGATTTTATTGAGTCTTTAATAAAAGCCTGGACAAAACACATCAGTTACAAAGATTGCATCTGAATTTTTTTGTTGTTCTGTAGCTGACTTCAGAACAGAATCTAAAATAATTGGGGTCAATTGGAAACCCAGAGATCAAATCACATTATTATCAAAGTGTGGAACAAATGTTTTCTCAGCCATCCTTTATGTAAAATAAGGTTCATAAATATGAGTCTTCACCAGCTTGAATTCAGATCCTTTTTTCCAGCATCAGAAATGTTAATTATTTTGAACATCAACCAGATACGGCTTTAAAAAAAAATAAACTGAGACACCTTAAATTTTGCAAGACACAGTGATGAAACAAGTGGCATAACTGGCTGTAGAAAATGGTCGTTGTCCATTTATTTGTTTAGAAGCCTCTATTGGTAATTATTGGTAATTGGAAATGTTTAAACATACAAAATAAAACAATAGAAAGTGGTGTCTGGGTCATTAAGGATGTAGAATCCACAAAAGAAGAAAAATATTTTCCTCAAATTTGCAATTCTCCCCTTCTTTCATACCCTGAACAGTCCAACTCCATTCCTGTTAAGAAGCAAAACCACTTGTCCAACCTAATACTGTATTTCCAAGCTGATCTGTCCTCTGCCATCTTTTTTCTTGCCAACATGCTAAAATACCACTGTGCAACATCTCACTTACACTGACCACCTAATCCCATTTCCTTCTCTCCTGCTCAAGAAGATCTCAGATGAGAAGCTGGCCAGATACTCATAATTCTCCTTCCCAAATTGCTACCTACATTATCACATCCTCCTCTAAAGTTCAGTCTACATCCCGTGCATCTTCGGATTCCACCCCTCTTAGGAAGCTCCTCCCAGATTCAGTGATCCTTCCTGAAAAACAGAAGTGCCAAGCAACTATTTAAATCTAGACATTCAATAATATTGGAGGTCCAAGAGTTTGTGTGTTCAGATAACCTTTTGGAACAGTGTCATCATATCTTCTTAAGAGCATTCATACACATGGCAGTGACGAAGTTTCCAGTGAAGCCCAAATGATTGTCTTTGCAACAATTTTTGCCCATTCTTTTCAACACCCAGAGAACAGGGCATAGATCTGCTTCCAGTATTTTTAGTCTAACAAATCAGCAAACAGTTCTATTTGCTGGGTTTCTGCTAACATCAATCTGGTAAGCAAGAAATTAGTTTAAAAAAACCTGATTACAATTTAATTTATCTTACAAAAAACAGGGAAGGTGGCAATTAATTCATACTGAGTAGCCATGACTCTTCCATAATTACATGTGCAATTCCAAGAATGTTATTTACTTTTCCTTGCCCTGCACCATTGTCCAGTGAAGTTCCAAGAAGGAGTGTTGCCCCTCCACATGGGCTAGCCGCAGCATGAAGTAGAGCGCCAAGCAACTCAAATATTAAATGCGAAGTAGAAAGTGGCAGTTTAGTAAAACTTGGGAAACAATGACAGGAAAAGGCTGAGATGTACAACTAAAGAAGTCCAATATCTATATAAAATAAAGCTCTCTCTTATTTTTTAAAAAAATGTTAGTGGCTCTCTGCTTTCCAAAAATGTTACGAAAGAAGTTCACTTTCCTCCTCTCCTCCTTTCCCAATTCTTCCCAAATTATACGCAGGAAAGATGCTAGAGTAAAAGGTTAAAGTGAAGGAATTAAGGTTTGCGATTTCATGCTCCTTCCACAGCATTAAAGCAACACCCTATCAAAGTTTAGATAGGTACAGGAGATGCACAAGTTTATCACACTGCGCTTCTGAGCCTTAATGGGTGCAGTTAACATACAAATTGTCCTACAATTTGTAACAAAATTCTGCTTCTACCGCATTAAGAAGGAAGTTTGGTACTACACGGTTTGAGCCCATCTTCTATAGGAAGAAAGCTTAACATGAGCCCCCTCCTTTTTGTTAAAGGGACACCTTTAAAAATACAGAATATTATGCAAGGAATGGTATTTCCAGAGGGTTCTAGCCTACAGCAGCTCCAAGATTTGAAGCTGATGAGTGTAAGCGACAGTCTGCAATGGGTCAGAACAAAACATGTAAAATGGTGAAGCCGTTTCCAGCTCTTCCATCCAAGGGCTGCCATCATGAATCATCTTCCATGCTAAAGCTGGAACGGCGGCTGCTGCCCTTTGAGGCACCAGGAGAGACAGAGGAAAGGAGTGGATCGGAGGCACCCAGTGGGGACAGCGCAGTCCCATCGTCCATGAGAACATCTTGCAGGGCTCCCCCATCAGATCCCAGTGCGAGACCCAGACCCAGCTCTTCAGCTGAAAAGGGGAGATCCAAGGACTCCGCAAATGGTGGAATTGGATCTCCTCCCAAGGACTGTGCCAGAAGGCCCTGGGTGGAAGTCAAAGGCAGCCCATGCATCTGGACCTGAAGTTCCAGCTCCTGCAGAGGAAGTTACAGACAGGCTTATGAGACTCTGGCCTGAGCTGCCCTGTCTCCATCCCATCCCCTCAAGCAGCTCTCCTACCTGTACTCGTAGCTGCAGGCTGCGGTTAGCTTGCTCCAATTTACGCTGCCTCAGCTCCATCTCCTTGGAGCGTTGCTGTTCCTTCTGCAATTTGCGGATATAATCTACTGAGGCCTTCAGGATGGTCCCTTTATTCCAGCGCATTTCCCTAAAATTTGCAGCAGGGGGGAGATAAGAGGTCAGGAATTAAGCATCCTTAGATCGGTTCCACCACAAAACCGCGTTCGACTAAAGGGCGCTCGACGAAACCNCAGTATTAAACAATAATTGCATCAATTCCTCTTGTCAACAATACCCCAGAAAATAGAAACCCAATATATTTCTTCCACTTTTTTGGTTTTTAAAGTCTGACCCTATGTGATTATAGCATGCTAAACTGTTCAGCAAAGTTTTCTTCACCTGCACATATATTGGCATATTGATTCCTTCGTTGTAAAAATCAGTTTGTGTAAAACATCTTATCTTTATTACATGTAGATGAAAATTACATGGGGGTAAAAATGCTTATATTTGATTATAATGCTTTTTTGATATATATCTTTGTGTTCTATTTTATGTAGGATTTTTTTTTTCTGTTTCAATCCCTTGGTTATCTCAGTACAGATAGATAATCCTTGTTCAACAACTGGTTCATTTAGTGACCATTCACAGTTGATGAAAAAATAACTTTGCCATGACTTCTCGCATTTATGACCTTGGCAGGACTACAAACCAAAGGAAAGCTAAAGTAAAATTGTAAGCAGCTGTGGTTTTACTTAGTCAGTGCTTCACTTAACAACCAAGTTACAGTTCCAATTGCGGTCATTAACCATGGGCTACTTTTAAATACATTGTTATCATAAATTATTTTTTAACAGGGTAACCTTTTTGCCTTTTTTTCTTCTTAGATAAAGGAACCTTCCTTGATGAATTTCTTCAGCTCCCTGAATTCTAAAATGCCTCTTAAACCTGGAGATATCTTTGAAGTCAAACTGGTCAAAAATGAGAACGGCTTGGGCATAAGTGTTACGGTACTGTTTGACAAGGTTTTAAGCTGTTTTATCTTTTTCTCCACTCAAAATCACCTGTTCTAATTTATGATTTACAGAGAAGCAGTGGAGCTTAAAGACACACTGTCAAGTACTTGCTTGCTGCTAATCTTTACCTTTCTTAACCATCCTAACAGTTATGCCAACCTGAATGTAGTTACAGATCTGTGTAGGGCAAGTGAATACATAAAAACAAATCAGTTTTAGGCTCGACATTTTCCCCTCCCGCAAATAGCAAAACTTAATAAATGCAGGCTGTGTAGACTTCAGCCATCAACAGACACATAAAGATAAACAAGATCTATATACCATTCCAAAGAGACAATCAAGAAGCCAAAAAAAAAAGGCCAAGGGGCCTCCTTTCCAGCAATCAACCCCGAAATAAACATAGATTAATAGTAGACAATCATTACATAAACAATGACATAATCAAGAAATTACTAACTCAGAAAAACAAGTTAACAATAAAGAGCAGCTTAATCAAGCAACCACCAAGACTTCTCCCAGCAACTCTGACAGGGCAATCCACTAGTGCAGAGGTGTCAAACTTGCAGCGTCACGTAATCATGTGACGTATCGTGACTTTTTTCCTCTTCACTGGATGGGCATGGCCACCATGTGATACATCCGGCCTGCAATGGTGTATTAACAGAGAGCAAACCCTACTCCCTTCGATCACTGATGATGTTACCTAGCCAGGTAATAAAATGTTTGCAAGAAAAGAAACAACTCGGAGAGATCATCAAGGATCCCCCCCCGCCCCCCAGTGTAGCCTTTGTAATGTGCATCTTTAAACACACACATATGTACAGTATGTCAATCAGAAAGGTCGGCGGTTCGAATTCCTAGCACCACGTAGCGGAGTGAACTCCCGTTATTTGTCCCAGCTTCTGCCAACCTAGCAGTTCAAAAGCAGGTAAAAATACAAGTAGAAAAATAGGGACCACCTTTGGTAGGGACGTTACAGCATTCTGTGCACCTTCCGCATTTAGTCATGACCATGGAGACGTCTGCGGACACTGCTGGATCTTTGGCTTTGAAACTGAGATGAGCACCGCCCCCTAGAGTCGGGAACGACTAGCACATATGTGCCAGGGGAACCTTTACCTATATGTATGGGGACATGGGTATACATGCATACATACCCGAACCCCTTCCAACCATTAATTGGAGATCAGAGTACTTTCACGTCTCCCATGGTCCTCTTCTTCTCAGATCTTCCTTTCCCGCCCGCCCCACCCGCCACCTACTGTGATCAAAATGTCATCCTCAATTGCAACCATCTACACTTCCACCCTACTCTGAGTTGTGCCATCCCCAGCATTAACCAGGGAAGACACCCCTAGTACTTTTTCTACCCTAAAGAAAGCAGATGTCAAGCTTTCTGCTAGCTTTTGCCTTCTTCTGTTGGTCAACTGTCTGGCTCCGTAAAAGAGCTGAGCACAGCAAAAGGGACAATTGTGCGGTGCAGCAAAACCGCTGACAAGGAAATAACAGGCAAAGCCAGTGACTCCCATGGAAGGCTGAAGAAGACATTATTTTCATTGAAAAAAACAATTTCTGCATCATAAATAAAATAGTATTCCTGTATATGCGAAGGGTTCCAACACAAAACCACGTTCGACTAAACCACGCTCGACGAAACCGCGTCGCTGACGTCATCAACAGGGCGACAACAGCGAGCGCGGAGAAAAAAGGGCGCTTTAAATAGCGCTTTGAAAGCAAGCCGATTCAAGTTAAGGTAAGGGTTAGGTTTAGGGTTAGGTTTAGGGTTAGGTTAAGGGTTAGGTTTAGGGTTAGGTTTAGGGTTAGATTTAGGATTAGGTTTAGGATTAGGTTTAGTCTTAGGTTAAGGGTTAGGTTTAGGGTTAGGTTTAGGGTTAGATTTAG